ATGGAGCAAAGGATCATGGTCTATGTAGTTCCCTCTTAATAACTCTTAATTTAAACAAAGGGACATGTAATTCGATATATTCTGATGGTCCACGATATTATTGTGAGAACTCTGACGATACGATATCATGATTTTTCGGTTATTGTTACATTCCTACGTAACAAAATTGAGTATTTCTTTCCGCACCGGTTTGGACGAAGCTCTAAAAAAAAAAAAAAAGACACAGATTTATTGAGAAGGAAACTCGTACAAGTCCTGGTTTAAGACCGGATCAGAGGCCTCAGTCCTCACTGTGACAAATGTTTTATCAGACAAGTCACTTTCTTGGAGATAAGAGCAGAACAGCGAGGTCTGTCACGATAAACTTCACAGAACGATGCATCGCTACAGAGAAATACTGCGATATAAGACGAGAGTGGTGATAATAATAAAAAAATTGTGATATCGTATCGTCAAAAGTCTCACAATAATATCATGAGATGTCACAATATATCGAATTATAAGTTTCTGTGCTTAAATGCATTGTTTTATAGAAGCAACAGCTTATAAACATCAGGAACTACATTTCCCATGATTCATTTCAGCGCAGAAAACATGAAGAAATATTGTTTTAACTTGAATTCTTGGGATTTTGATGGAAATAATTCACATCAAAATCTTGTCAAGGTATTTTAAAAGGGGTTTAACGATATCCAAATCTCACAGTACGATATTTATTGCGATATTTTGTGAAGGCAGACAAAACTTTTTCCTCTAAAAAACGCCATGACAAGACTTAAAAGTGCTTAGAACTGTTGAAATGGAGCAAAGGATCATGGTCTATGTAGTTCCCTCTGTCTTTTTTCTTTTTTTTTTTTTTTTTTTTAGCTATTTCTGCTCCATAACTTTTAATTTAAGATAGACTTGTAATTCGATATATTGTGACAGCCCACGATATTATTGTGAGAACTTTGACGATACGATATCACGATATTTCGGTTATTGTTACATCCCTGTATTTTAAAAAACAAAAAAATATCTACATTCATATCAGCCTCTTCAAAATATTGCAGTAAATATCATAAATATGAGATGCATTGACTAGTATCGGTATCGGCGAGTACACTAAGGCCAAGTATCGGTATCAGTATCGGATCGGACCCTCAAAAAATGGTATCAGAACAACACTAATAATAATGACGTTAGTTAGTTACGGTTTCATTCTTATTTTTTTTTATTTTTTTTTTTTTATAGTTTTATTTTATTTATTTATTGTTTTATTTTATTTATTTTTTTAAATTTCATTTTATTATTATTATATTTTTTTTTTATTATTATTATTATAATTTTTTTATTACTGTAAATGAAGAGCAAAGTTAATGGTGCACTTTGCTCATTTAGGATGTGTGTGGGTGACTGAGTGAATGGAAGAGTGTGTGGGCATTAAATTTTTTTTTTTAATACAACTCAAATTTTAGCTTTTACCCTGGAAGTCTGCATTCAAAAAATGAAAAAAATAAAATAAAAATATTGCAATATAAAATAACACTGAAAATACTTTATGTCACTGACCCAAAGAAGGAAAACCTCAGTTATCTTATTTTTAAATAGTCATCATCATTAAAAGACAGAATGAACCAATACTAATCACCAAAAAAGTTATTTATTCTACTATCTACAGCTCAAATCTGACCATATTACATAAAAATGCCCAAAAATCTTCCCATTATTGCAAAGAAACTGAACATACGGTAAATACTGAGCCCCAAAATACTGTATATTAACATTTCCAATGGGATGTAACGATATTCAAATCTCTCTGTACGATATTTTTTACGATATTTTGTAGAGAACGCCTTCGTAAAATGCCTAAACCCAAACAAATACAACTTAAAAGTGCTTAGAACTGTTATTTCTGCACTAGAACGAAGCAAAGGATCATGGTCTATGTAGTTCTCTCTTTGTTTTTAGCCGTTGCTGCACCAAATTCATTCATTTAAGCGAAGAAACTCTTGATTCGATATATTGTGATGCTCCACGATATTATTGCGAGAACTTTGACGATACGATACCACGATATTATGATATTTCGGTTGTTCCCAGAGTCTAAAAACAACTTAAACTACGACGCGAAAATCATCATGAACTTCGAAAACTACATTGGTCAAAAATTTCTGCTTCAAAGTGCCTTCCTTCATGGAGATGTCATTGCTTTTTTTTGGTCTGGAATGTTTCGCAGTATGACTTTAAACCCTTTTTATCTTCACGGAGACCAAACGAGGCCAAGTTACAGGTCAGATCTGCGGAGAGGCGACGCCGCTCGCAGCCAGAATGTTGTTTTTGTAGGTGTTTTTGAGCTACAAAACTGAATAAGTGTAAAGTAGAGGCTTTTAAAGTCACGCTGTGGGACATTCCGGGCACGGCAAAGACATCTCCATAGAAACAAGCGGAAAAAGCGACACAGTACACCTTTAAACGCGGCGTGCGACTCTCACTCTCGCGCTCCTTCTGCGGTTGGAGCTGATCCGACTACAGCAGACTTACAGCTCTTCTGACGCTCTTGAGTCACGCTGACAAAACCCGTAAAAGCCGGGTTAAGTGCCTTGCCCAACGACACAACAACAAAACCAACGAAAGTCTGAGGCCGTGAATAAGGCGTGCGGGCGTGTGCGGGCCTGTCGAGATAATTACTACTTCAATTTATGGTGAGTATATGAAAGCGGGAACAGGATACAGAATTTTAGAGCTTAAAATGTGATGATACGTTTAATTATACCGTAAAAAAACGAGAATTCGCACGTCGGTTTCCTGAAATGGGCGAGTTTAGGGATGTAACAATGTCCAAATCTCTCGGTACGACATTATCACAATAATAAAATACCTCGACAAGATTTTGGTGCGAATTAATTTTCATAAAAATCCCAAGAATTCAAGTCAAAAACATATTTCTTCATGTTGTTTGCGCTGAAATGAATCGTGGGATATGTAGTTCCCGATGTTTATAAGCTGTTGCTGCTATAAAACGAAGCATTTAAGGAAAAAAAAACTTGTAATTCGATATATTGTGATGATCCAGAGAAGAATCAAAGAATTTAATTAGGTCATCAACAATGTTTTGGCACTTCGTCTTCTCTCTTCGACTTTATTGATCCACAAGGAAAACTATTTGGACACAGGAGCTTACACATCACAATAAAATATAAAAACAAACAGTAAAAAATGTAAATTATGAAAAATATAAGTAATAATAAATGATAATAATTCTATAAATGTACATAGGGATATTTGTTACATGAGGGTGAGTTAATTTACAGTTGTAGGGAGTATTATCTGTTACATAAGGCTGAGTTGTTGTACAGTTGTAGGGAGTATTATCTGTTACATAAGGGTAAGTTGTTGTACAGTTGTAGGGAGTATTATCTGTTGCTGTACAGTTGTAGGGAGTATTATCTGTTACATAAGGATGAGTGTTGTACAGTTGTAGGGAGTATTATCTGTTACATAAGGGTGAGTTGTTGTACAGTTGTAGGGAGTATTTTCCTGTTACATAAGGGTGAGTTGTACAGTTGTAGGGAGTATTATCTGATACATAAGAATGAGTTGTACAGTTGTAGGGAGTATTATCTGTTACATAAGGGTGAGTTAAAGGTGAATACGTAACAGACAATACTCCCTACAACTGTACAACAACTCGCCCTTATGTAACAGATAATACTCCCTACAACTGTACAACAACTCGCCCTTATGTAACAGATAATACTCCCTACAACTGTACAACAACTCGCCCTTATGTAACAGATAATACTCCCTACAACAACTCACCTTTATGTAACAGATAAGCTTGTCTTCCTACGACCTCTTGTTTATGGCTGAAATTTTCTATTTTGTTACTTATTTTTCTATTTTATTTTGACTTCTATATAAACATTTCATAAAATTACGTCTTATTTGACACGTGTCTTGCTCTTTTTTTGCTACGTATTTTAAAATGTATTATGATCATTTATGTTTTTTACTCTTTGTTTTTATATTTTATTGTGATGTTTTTGAGCTGCTGTGTCCAAATAATTTACCTTTGTGCATCAATAAAGTTTGTCTAAGTTTCGTTAAGTATCGTTTATCGTTTTATTTTCTCTGTATTATTGTATTGTGCTTCAGTGTTTGTTATCGTTTGTTATCATGACAAGCCCAGACACGTTTATGTTGTACCTGGAATCATTATTGTTATTATATTTCTGGAAACTGTGATTTTAATCTGATCGCGAGTGGTAAAATATTCCGAACTGGTGTAAAAAGGTCAGTGTATTTTAGTTTGTGAATAAGATCGTGAACAGAAACAAAAATTTTTAAGTGACATCAGGAAAAGTACCTGACGCGAAACACTACAGACGCTAAATAAACAATAAAATAAACAACAATAAATACAAAAAATAATGTCCAGTTATGACGTCCAGAGTCACTAATGCTGTTATTGTTAAAGATGCATCATGGAACTTTTCTGTCTCCATGTACGGGTGTATTATTGCTTTTCCCGGAATGTTCCACAGTACGGCATTGTAGTGATCTGCTGTCACGGAGACCACCATGTGAAAATACAGGTAAGATCTACGGAGAGGCGATCCAGTTTTCTCAAGGCTTCTTTGTTTTTATTTATGTTTTTGCGACGAAAACTCTTGACCGTCTTTAATTGATTTTATTTTATTATTATTATTTTTTTAAATGTTTGTTTATTTATTGTATTTTTTTTTTATGTATTTATTTTATTTTTTAATTAGTTTATTTACAATTATTATTTTTATGCTTTTTTTTTTTCAATTTTCTGATACTGTGTTGGTAAAAAGTGCGACAAAAATAAAGTTCGGTTGGATTGAAAAGAGTAATCGAATAAACGGAAAATGTGCAACTTTAATGCCGTGCTGTGGGACATTCCAGGAAATCTCCATGGAGACGAACAAGCTGCGAACCACCAAAAAAAAAAATTCCAATTCCGCTCGTTTTTTTTGTTTGTTTTTTCCACTTACTGTTGTTGGACTTGAGATCTCGGTGGATGACGGGCACGATGGCCTCGCTGTGGAGGTAGAGCATCCCTCGGGCGATCTGCACCGCCCAGTTGACCAGGACGTGGGGGGGTATCCTTCTCCCCGCCAGCGCCCGGCTCAGCGCCCCCCCTGAGGCGTACTCCATCACCAGGCACAGGTTGGGCTCCTGCAGGCACACCCCCTTCAGCGCGATGATGTTGGGGTGCGTCAGCATCGCGAACAACCTGGCCTCCTGCCGGACGTTTTGCGCGGTCACGCTTATATCCTCGTCGGGATCCTGCCTGGCAGCTTTCACCGCCACCAGCTCGCCTCGCCATGTACCTCGGTAGACCTTCCCGAACCCTCCTACTCCGATAACTTCCTCCAGACTTAACTCTCGAAAATCCACCACGAGCGGTTCGAACTCTCCGGGCCCGAGTTCGCCGACCACAGCTCTCCCGGGAAGCTTGCCGTATCCGCTGGGCTTGAAGGACCCGTAGTTGGAAGGAAAGATCCCCACCTTGTTGTTGACCTTCCCGGCCCACCAACCTTCGTCGCCCGAAATCTCGGAATCCAAGGACAGGACTTCCACGAGGTCGCCTTTCCGCAGGGTGAGCTCATCCTTGCAGGACGCTTCGTAGTCGAACAGGGCGGTCCACACTGGGTTGGTGAAGTTGCCTTTCGCCGACTGCTCCAAGTTCTTCCAGTTGGACAGCGGGCCGCGGCTGAATATGTTCTTCAGGGGCTCCATGGAACCGGATGTTTGGATTGGATGACCTCCCCGACGGTTTCAAAATAAAGTACAGAGGCGTACTTTATTGCGCCACTCTCCCTTTCCTGTCTGTCTGGTTGGTTCATCAGGGACAGATCTGCAGGAGCCGAACCAACCGAGATGTCTTCTGCGGAATCAAAAGAGTTTTTCATTCATTCCCAAAAAAAAAAAAAAAAAAGCTTCGATTAACACTTTATAATTCTTCTCGAAATCTCTAAAAATTCCAAACACGACTCTTTAGCGACAAACATTTCTCAAATTTTCTTTCTGGGAGTCTCCAAATCAGCTCACATTGCATAACGCATCTTCACCCCCATCCCAAATTCCACCTGCTGCGCGCTGCACGTACGGACTTCGAAATAAATCGTGCTTTTGGAACGATTGCACCGCGCGTAAACTATCCCTCGCAGTCCGTTCGGTTCGTACGTGTATTTTTAGCCGTTAAGTGCAGTGGCCATCACAAGCAGGAAGCGCGGACAAGCCGAGAAGAATGGCAGGAAAGGAGCATTCAGTCCAGCCGACCTGTGTTGTTTTACGATGGACTCTCAGAAATGACCGCTACGCTCCACATTTTGCGCGGACGTTTGCGTAAAAAAAATCAAAATAAAAATCCCAACTCGATTATTCCAAAACGCTGCACCGTCTCTGCGCCAAAGTCTTCATCGTGAAAAAGTTCAGAAGAATAAACCGGGATTTATCTCAGCCAAAACTTTAGGAAGAGTTGCGTTTTAACAGGAAGAGCAATCCAAACCTGACCGAGTTACGCTTCCAAAATGACGGGCGCGCGTTTGCATACTTCCCCGTAGAGTCGGTGCGGTCGGGCGCGGGTAAAATTAGTCCAAAAAGCGCAATAACTCCATCCCCAGCGATAATTCCTCTTCCTCGGTCAGCGGCGTCACGATCTCGAACCACTTGTACGTCTGTGCGCGTGGAGGGTGGGGTTTCGAAACTTTTTTTTTTTTTTTTTTTTTTTTTTTTTTTAGTTTCTCAACAGGAAAAGAGTCAGATGACAAGGCCACGGGAAAGCGCATGGCACGAAGGACGGGCGTTTCCGGTGCGAAATTTCAAAATAAAACATGTCGATTTTATTTTTCTCCTCAATAACGCGAAAAAAAAAAAAAGGTTTTAATGAAGAACAGTCTAAAATTACAATAATTTTCTATCAATTTAATGCAGTGCTGGAAAGTTTTTTTTAGGTATCTGTACTCGGTTATTTTTGAAATGTAATCCCCTACAGATTACAGATTACATATCCCAAAATGTAGTTTGTCACGGAATCCATTAAATTACTTAAAGTGAGTAATGTAATCTGAATACTTTGGATTACTTGGTTTGCTGTAGAGAAGCAAAGACGAGGAAATCTTCACATAAGAAAAAAAAAAAAAAGAAAGAAAGAAAAAGAAAATAAAAAAGCCCAGACTTTACTGAACCAAATTAAAAAATATTATTGATAGAAGAGGAGGAGACACAGTTCATGCAGCATGATTTAGTCCTGTTAAATCCTGTTTTATTCCTGGTTTAGACCTGGTTTAGTCCCAGTTTAGACCTGGTTGGACCTGGTTCAGACCTGGTTTAGTCCTGGTTTAGTCCTGGTTTAGACCTGGTTTAGACCTGGTTTAGTCCCAGTTTAGACCTGGTTTTAGTCCTAGTTTAGTCCTGGTTTAGACCTGGCTTAGACCTGTTTTAGTCCTGGTTTATTCTTGGTTTAGACCTGGTTTGGACTTGGGTTTAAACCTGATTTAGTGTCTGGCAATGAGTGGAATTACCGAAAAAAAGAAAGAAAAAGGGGGACATAGCCCGAAATGTAAAGACAAGACAAGAAAATCCTGCTGTGTAATCCATTTATTTCAACAAAGTAACTGTAATCCAATTACCACTCACTGAAACAGTAACTAAATACAGTTTCTCATAATTTGTACTCTGATTACATAACTCCAGTACATGCAATCTGTTACTCCCCAACACTGACTGTACTTTACTTAAATATATTTTAATGTGACCAGACTTCGCTATTTACCCGGGACAGTCTCAGTTCTGAGTCCTGTGTCCCCTGTCCCAGCAGATTTAAACAAAACTATTGATTTGTCCCAGTTTTGTTCAAGAAATGTCCCAAGTCTCCCTATTTTTGACAAATTTTATACTTGCCAACAGTAAAAGAGAGCCATAAATTGACATTTGTTTTGGTAAAATACATAAAATCTGCTTAAAAACGACCAAAACACAAAGAAAATGTGACTATACTGACTCACATGTTCGTCACGAATGGGTCAAGTGCTTGAAAATTTTCCTTAATTACTCACTCGTTTCAGTTTTATTATTACAAACCAGCACAAACCGCGGGTGACCCAGTTCTTGATTTTGAAAATCCCTAAAAGTGGGTACTTTTTATTTTTATGTCACTACATCTGAGCGCAGGGATCTTAACTTTCTAATGAACTACATCATTCCCCCATCAACCATCAATGTTCTGCAGATTTGTGGAGGCCTTAATGATTGAATAATTGTTGAGTTGTGCATCTCTGATCAAAACAGAAATAGAGCTTTTATTTTATTTTGTTTTATTTTATTTTATTTTGTTTTATTTTATTTTATTGTATTTATATAATTTTTTTATTTATTTATTATTATTTTATTTTAATTTATTTTTATATTTTTATAGACTTATTTATTTTTATTTATTTTATTTTGTTTATATTTGTTGTTCTTTTTCATTGTTGGTGTGAATGTGGTGCATGTACATCCTGTCTGTTTTCTCTAGAGGGAAAAAAAAAACAAAAAAAAACATTTATTTATAGCCTGTCACGGACCCCAGGGAGAATAGTTGCTGTTTTTCAGTAGCTAATGGAGATGTAAATTAAAATAAAAACAAACAGACTCAAAACAACCCACATACAGCAGGTCTCCAGGAAGAACAGTTGATCGCTGAGGTTCATTAAATCAGTTAAATTCAATCAATGAACCTGCGCAGAGACGACAGGTGGAAATTATCACGGGAGCAAAACCTGGTACAAACATCTCTCCTTGACTGAAAAGTAAAAAGTATCTGTACTTTACTTGAATACATTTTAAAGTAGAGGGTGTTTGTGGTTAGTCAGACTGGCGCCACCTCATGCTTCCTCTCAGTTTTATTTCTCATGAGCGACTAGTTCAGGAATCAGAAAACACTAGGCAAGGCAAGTTTATTTGTAAAGCACAATTCATACAAAGTAATTCAAAGTGCTTTACAGAATAAGAAATACATTAAAATCATAATAAAAACAAATCAATATATAAATAATCAGGAAGATTAAAATAAAAAAAGAGAGACATAAATTGGAGAGAAGAGTGCGGGATGAAAAACCTTTCAGTTATTTGCACAGTCAAACAGAAATGTTTTGAGTCTGGATTTAAACAGCGTCACAGAAGAGTCTGTCTCACATGTTCAGACTGTTCCAGGTTTTAGCTGCATGAACCTGAAACTCTGACTCCCCTTGTTTAGTCGTGACTCTGGGCACCAGCAGGAGTTGGTCCCTGAGCTCCTCAGAGTGTGAGATGGTTCATATGACACTAACATGTCACAGATGGACTTTGGTGCTCGGCCATGGAGACACTTGTACAAGCAGAGCTGCTTTAAAGTCTCTGAGCCACAGGAGCCAGTGCAGAGACCTGAGACCAGGACTTATGTGCTCGTACTTCCTAGTTCGAGTCAGGACCCGAGCTGCAGCGTTCTGGATGTACAAATCCTCACTAGACGATTTGTAAGAACCCCGGAAGTTGTAGACCGCACACCGACCAATCAGCAAAGAGCTGGATCAACCTGAGCTGTGATATCAGACTACAAACACCATCCTCCTTTAGACTTCCTTTGTCAAATACAAACTTCACATTTTTTATTGCACCTTTAATTCACAAGTTCATCAACAAACATGTTCACTCTCTGCTTTGTCTTCTGTTGTGCCGGCAATGACTTGGACACCACCGAGCGTTCGTTCCGGCGCATTACAAACGTCACGACCAAACAAACAGCAGCAAGGCGCAACTTTTAAAACTTTACAAACGCCTGGAAAAGACTTCAGAACCTTTCATCGACGTTTTATTTTGAAAAGACAGGCCCGTCCCTTCTGACTTCCCGCCAACTTGACAATCAGGACAGACAGTTCTGAGTTCTCTGAGTGGGAGGAAAACAACAATAGAGTACACACAGAATAGTACACAGGTTAGAAAAAAATTAAATCAATTATCGGATCGCGACAATTATGTATAATCAAAGAATTAAAAGGAAGAACTGCAAAGTCTGTGAGGTTCTGTAGCAGGTGCATGGGAATATTTGGAAAGTTGTTGAAATTCCAAGGATCTGGGGCATGGTTCTTAGGCTGTATCTCCTTTCTCCTTTGATAAACCTCGGTAAAAAAACAAACAAAAAAAAAAAAAGCAGATACGACAAAAAGTACACCTATGCTTTTGGGTTCTGAAGCTCCCAACCCAAGTTTATGAAATTTCCAACTACGAAAACTACGCGGATTTTAGAATTGTCTTATAACTTACTCAACTTTCTATTATTATTATCATTCTAAACAGTTCTTGAAAGTTTTTTAACAATTTATCGAATGATTGAGCAGAATTTATCAAGTTTTTCAGGTTATATGAAAACAAAATGTGATATTAAAAGGTGTATTTTTTAACTTTTCCAGCGATATTGCTGCTTTTTCTGGACAGTATGGCACTAAATCTTTCTATTTTCGTAGTTACAGGTCAGATCTGTGGAGAGACGACCCCGCTCACAGTCAGAATTCCTGTTTTTTTTTAGGTGTTTTTGAGCTATAACATCATCTGTAATTGAATAAATGTAAGGTAGAGGCAGAGGAATGACATCTCCATAGATCCATCCAACCAAAAAGTTACGTAATACATAAGCATGTATTTTCTGCTGTTTTTTTTTCCCCATTTATTATTAATATTATAAAGTTTTTATTGTTTTTTTTAAATATGAAATCAGTTCAACCTCTGACTGTGAGAGAACGGATCTTATCTCACACAGATTATTTTTAGGTATCTGTACTTTACTTAAATACCAGCAGATTTATCCAAAACCACTGATTTGTCCCAGTTTTATACAAGAAATGTCTCTATTTTTGACAAATTTGATCTCTGTCAACAGTAAAAAGAGGAATACATTGACATTTGTTTAGGTAAAATACAGAAAAGCTGCTTAAAAACGACCAAAACACAAAGAAAATGTGACTATCTAACAGAGAAATCGTTCATCTGGATCTTTCTGCTGCTCGAATACACGGGGCAAAAACCTATAAACATTTCTTGCTTTTCCAATGTATTGACCAAACTGAGATGTGAATGTACTGCATAGTTGTTGCTTGGAGATTTTTTATTATAGTATATGTTCACAGAATGTACAATCTTAGTTATTTTTTTATGTATAATTCATAATAAGTTCATATATCACAATTTCTGCTGATGTCTTTTGAGGGTTGTTTTCCCAGTGGGATGTGTCTGTTGTCAAAGTCGATCTTTTCAAGTCTTTTGAACCATATCACTTTTGTTTCTGGTTCTGATATTGTCATATTTTAGTTTTGGGATTCGGACATCGTAATTGTGTGGTTGTTGGATCCTAACAGCGGAAAACGGCTCGAGAAATGTGTTTGCGAACTCCATAAATGCAAAAGGGAATCAGATGTGTGTGACTCAAACCTCCGTTCAAACTGTTTCTCTTCCCAACGGAATTGAAAAATAGTGAAAAGTGAAGGTGATGGGCAGGATTGATCCACAGGAAGAACCAAAAAGGAAACATTTGTCTGACTAAATCAGTTGTATGTGGAGCATCAAAACAAAATCCCGATCCTTCACTCAACCTCAGTTACGAATTTAAAAAGTCAACGCCAAAGCAAAAGGCATCAACTGTTCACCAAGAAACACCTTCCATGCAAAGAGACCAAGACGT